TTTTACCTTTTTTAATTATCTTTTTTCTTTTTAAAATTTTCTATAATATTTTTTTTTTGTATAACCCACCAACTCAAAGTGGATGGGTCAAGTCAACTAAATTATTGCTTGACTCTCTAAAAAGTGACACGAGTTAAATTATTTTGTGTTGAATTGTTTCTTTTTAATTTACCAAACAATTGACTCATTTCGTTAAAAAAAATGTTACATATGCTAATATATAAAAAAAATGTCATTATAAATATAGTATATATAGGTATAAATTTATTTGACATATAACTATACATAATTTTAGTGTTGAATTAATTTGAATGGAACTCAACAATATATATTGTATATTACTATAATTTATATCTAAACTTTTTAACAATATATCAACATATATTATATCTCTAGTGTAAGTAAAAGTAGTTTTAGTAACAATTATTGTGTCAATAGAAGATGTGTATCACTATATAATAATTTTTTTTAATGCTTTAACATTAATTAATATTTTACTAAAGGAATTAGTCTTATATTAATTTTTTTATTGAAATTTACATTTTCACTGCAAGAAAATTTGTTTTCAAGTTAAATAGTTAATCAGATAAAACATTTTTTTTTTCAAAATAGTAACGTCTATGTGAATCATAACATTTTTAAAGGATATTACATATTTTATTGTTATTTTCATTTTTATACATAGTTAATATAAATTATACCGACAATTAATTAAAAAAATTATAAATATAATTTTAAAGTAGTTTTGTAAAAAAAATCAATAAACTTATGAAATATAACAATTTGTGATCATGAGAACGTAAAAAATTTTACATTTGTCTTTGCATTTTAGTTAGATTATTTTATTCTTTAAAAAAATTTAATTCATTAATAAGTATTTTCGGGAAAAAAAATCTCTGGGTTCTCACTTCTCACCAACCTTTTCAAAACAAGTGCAATTACTTTTCATCTTATTTTTTCTATCAAATATTAATTAATTGATTATACCATTAAATTAATTCTTTTCTAATTTTTCTTTTCATATTTAAATTTACTCTTTTTCCCTTTTTTATCAATAATTTACTATTTTCCTTAAATTTTAGCAAAAATAATTTATTAAATTTAATTAATATTATATCTATTTTTATATTTTAAATTAAGTTTCTCTCCTTAAATATTGTATCTTATAAATTATTTTTAATATTTCATTAAATCTTTTTAAATATTCATATAATACATTAAATTCTTGTTAATTTCAAATTGTATTAAGTCATTTATAGGAGGGCACTATACGCACAAGTGAATCCCTATATTGAAATTTAGGTTGGTTTTTAAAGAGGAATTTTAATATTTTACGAATTTTATTATGGCTAAATTTTTTATTACTTTGATTTAAAACTCATTAATTTTTTAAATTTTCTGTTTAAATAAGATAATTCAAATTTATTAACTTTTAAAATTTTAGTTTGAATAGGAAAACTTACTTTTCATCATATTAAATTCATTTATACATGAATTAAGATTTGTTGATATCAAGTGTAAGTCTAAAAATTTACACTAAATTTTATATCTTCAATATTTTTTTTATAATATAAATTTAACCAATTCAACTATTGAATTATGTAATATTATATTTATGATCTTTTATATCAAATTTCACATGCTTACAAAATTATTTATAATTCAATCATATTATTTTATTTTAATATATAATTTGACATTTTAAATATGTAGACGTATTCATTTTTGGATAATATTTTTAAAAAAGATTCAAATAATGTAAAATTTGATACACATAATATTGAGTATAATATTATCAACAATTGAATCAGTTACATTTGTGTTATATAAAAATTTATTGGACATATAAGATTTGATGTAAGTTTTTAGATTTACACATTGTGTCAAAAGTCTTGACTTTATATATATATATATATATATATATATATATATATTAATTTTCAAATAAAGAAAAATTAGTATTTTTAATAATTCATTAATAATTTTGAATATATATATATTTAACAATTAAAATTCAAAATAATAACACTTTTATGTTAATCTATAATCTAGACTATTAATAAATGGAATTGTCCCATTTAGTATACACATTTTTTAAACAACTTTATTCTTACTAGAGGGACAAGATACTTTGTACCTCTAATATTTACATACAGACAAATATTAGAAAGTGTGGATAATTATTTAGAAAAGATATAAAAAATTTATTTTATTTTTATATTTAAGTGGTATAATCGTCTATTAAAAAGTAAAAACCAAAAGATAATTACTAAAATATATCCCTAAATAAATAATATAATCACCCTTCAAACTATTGTCCATATTTTTCAAAAGTTATCTTTACAAACTATACATACTCAAAAACTTAATATTAACCTTTCACTTTTATTTATTTTTATTTTCAAATACACGGAGATATAAAATATTTTTTTTAATAAAAATATATTTATTTTACGCTAGTTTTATTTATTTATTTATTTATGGACAGTTATAGCTTTAATAATTAAATAAGGACTTAACCACCCGAGCCTTTTTCTCTTTATTCCTTAATCACTCAGCTGCAAAGTTTTACACATTAGCTTCTTTCACGGATTTTTCTGTACGCAAAATGTTTTTTCTTTTACCTTCTATTTATTTATTTATAAATATATAGAGAGGCGCATAATGTGTTTGTATCACCAATATTAATAAAGTTGAAGAAGAGAAAGGGGTGAAGGAAGAGAAATTTTCACTTAAATTTAATTACTCATTTAAATTAAGGTATTGGTTAAATAAAATTTAATACATTCTATTAAATGATTCCAAATACTTAATTAAAATGTCTTAGCTAGTATTGATTGTCCAGAGAGCAATGATTAGGATGTAAATCCATCGTTGCAATAAAAAAATTATTTATATTTACTTATGTATCTATTTAAAATTTAAGATAATATTAATTGTTATTTTTTTCTCCAATTATTAAATACTCTACATATTTATCACAAGTAAAAGGAAAATAATAGTGGATGTTATATTTGGAAATTAAAATTATTTTTAACATAAATGAGATTAATTACATTTTTTAATTTATGTATTAGCGAATATCCCTTAGTACATGAACAGCTAGTGAAATTGTCTAAGTTTAACCAAAATGGTTTGAAAACAATGTGTATATAATTATGTTAGATATTTAAAGTGAGAACTTATTGTTGATGATATTTTTATTCAATTCAAATAAGATTATCTCTCATGAAGAATACTTTTAATCTCCACAAAAAAAAAAATAGAGAAGGAAATAAGATTAGTTTAATATATTATATTAAATATTTTTAATTAATTAAATGACTTCAAAAGTAAAAGGTTTTGATTAATAAAAAAATTCTTACATTCAAAATACAAACACCATTTATTCTTACTCTCAATCATGTTTTTCATTTACAAAGTCCAAATCTTTAACACTTATTGCTTATGCAGTCAAGTGAACATATTGGCTGATACCATTGGTTTTATTGGTATCATGTCAGTATATGAATGTTATAATTTTTTTTCTTAGTTTCTAAAATGCATATTATTTATTTACTTTAAATGAATGTTAGTGGTCAAAATTAATGATTTTAGATCTTAGAAGGATAAAAAAAATAAAGAGATACATATTACAAAGATCAAAAATAAAAATTTCACCCATTTCACACACAACAAAAAACAATAATTTAAATTTAGATATATAAAATAATATTTTTTACAAAAAAAAAATAAAATTAAAACTCACTTATTCTTATAAAATAAAATATTTTAGCCTAAATTTTTTCCAGAGGTGTTCATGGGACTTATCCTATCGATATGTATTCATAAATAGAATAATGTAATGATCGAATAAATTCCTATTAAATATTTGTGCAGTTTTTACATTAACATTTAAAATGCATATATACAGTAAATTCTAATTATTTTGGTCATGTTTTAACTTTCACTCGCTCATTAAATTCATTTCTACTTCAATATGTGTATGGTTTATTTTTGTTAATTTATTCAGATGAGGAAATCATAATAGGCGCATTTATTCGTTACCCCGCAAAGATTTATCCTTATGAGGACAATTGTTTTATATGACAATAATGAAATTAACAATTATTAGGTTCTAAAATTTATTAAATACACAGGACAAATTGAGTAATAGCACCACCACTTAGCAAAATTAGACAAAGGTGCCCAAACAAAATTGAGAATCATTGGTCTCTGCGTAATTTCAATTTAATTTTTTAATTTATACATTCACACATTCAAATTGTGTTCTGATCATTCCATTGGTGTTTAAATTATTGTACTTGTCCTTTTTTCCATTATATAAATATATCTAGTGTCTACCATTTCTTTACGCATAGTTTTGAAAAGGTTTGTGAATATGGAGCGTTTGAAAATGCAGCTTTCGGACACCTTCAAAGCCATGAAGCAAGAGGTCTTTCTCTAAACTCTCACATGTAAATTTTTTTAATCAATTAATTTCTAGATTAATAGCTTGCACCCTTAGCTTTTGTTCTTAAATTTTTATATATCTTTATGTTCAATTGAATTTTGTTGAAATTACCTCGTTTTTCTCTATATTTTTTTCCCTCTTTGTTTTTAGGGTTTGGTGGATGACCACTTTACTTTTGTCTACTCGTTGAAAAAGAATGTCGAAGATCATTTCTACGTAGAAATGATACCAGAGTTTTGCACTGAAGTCCGAGATGCCATAAAACATTTAACACAAATAATGTAATTTCAATTTCTTTGTTCATACGTACATATGTGATATTTTTATGAAAAAAAAATCTAGGTGTTGTTTTATAGGTATTCTTTGTGCTAATTTTCAATAGAAACAAAATTAAAATAATTTGTACACTTGCTTAGGGTTTAAGGTTTATTGTTTTTATTGAAAAACAATGACAAAAAGACCTATAAGTTAAACAATATTAATACATGATTTTTGTCCTATTCTTATATGCACATTCTTTGATTTTAAATTTGATATTTTCCTCTCTTTTTTTCTTTAATGTAGCGATGATCAGACTTTGAACTACAGTCTTATGAAAAATTACGTTTATAAAATTAAAGGCAGTTCTTCAAGGTAATTGTTTTAATATTTGCATCAAGGTTTTGAGTAGAGCAAGTTTGGTAAAATCAAACGAGTATCTATAGTCTATAGAACTAGATTTTATTATTCTCATACCTATTTTCCTTCAAGCTTGTTTAGTTTAATGTTAGGATTGCTGCACTTTTATTTGATAATCCTATATTGCACAGCAGGTTTTATTGTTTTGGGATGTTAGTTCGTCTTCTTTAATTTGAGGCGTTAATCATGAAACAAATTCCATTATAATTTTTAATTAATAGTCAATATTTAGTTTAAATTATCAGAAATCTTTTTTTTTTAAATACAGAAATCTCATTTCTAATTATTATTTATTTGTGTATCTCAGTTTTGGGGCATGCAGATTGGCAGTAGCATGTGCTGACTTTGAACGTGCTATTGATGCGGCCTCTAAAGAAGGGTAATGAACACCTAAACGTATCTATTAGATGAAGTTAAATTTAATTTATATTTAGGTTAAAATATTTTCCCTTTAATTTTATTTACTCTACTTTTTAGTCCTATATAATTTAAAATATACACATTTTTAATTCTTATATTTATCTTTTTAAATAATTTTTAATTTTTATATTTGTAGTTATTTAATCCTTTTAATCTATATAATGTTATTTTTTTTTGTAATATTATTTCTTTTAAAAGAGAAAGATATATTAATTCAACTTTGTGTCATTGTGTATCTAATTTCAAATTTATTTGTTGAAATTATTATAAATTAGACCTTTTGATACTCCTTTGTCTCTTTTATACTTTCACATATATAACATTGATCTTATGAGATACCATTTTTTATCCTTATAAAATTGAAAACCTCTATCATATTTATACAAAATATTAATTTTAAATTATATAAAGACTAAAAAGTAAAATAAGTAAAAACATAAGAAAAAAAATTTAATCTCATATTTATTACATTTTATGGATAATAATAGATAGTACAGTAATAAGCTATTAAACTAATATATATATATATAAAGAGGAGTTATAATTACACCGATGTAATTTTTACTAAGTATTACACCGCTCAATAATTTTATATTAAATGTGAATTTTGTAAATCCAACCGTTAGATTGAAAATTCATATCTCTTAGATCATATATATAAAATTTTATATTAATTCAAGATGATTTGATACTTCATTTTTATAAAACAAAATTAGCGTAATATATTCATTTCAAAATACACTAAAATATGAATACTTTGATTATCTTCAAGTTGTTGTTAAATTTTAACAAAATTTGATATATATGTACAAAGTAATATGAACTTTCAATTTAACGGTTGAATTTACAAAATTTATAATTTATAAAGTTATTGAGCGGTGTAATACTTGGTAAAAATTACATCAGTATAATTATAGTCCCCTCATATATATATATATATTATTTATTTATTTATTTTTTATTTTTATTTTTTTGCTTTCTTTGATACACAATACATATACACGTGCGTGAGTCTAACTGTCGGTGTACTATCTATAAAAAGTATAATAATATTTACTTATTTAATGAACAAAAACGGAATTCTATATAACACTTCATTAATAGATATTTTCTTTGCAGGTGTCTGCAGGCACTGAAACGAATTAAGCGTGAAATGTCTGCTCTTGAAGAAAGGCTCCATGATTGTCTTCAGGTAATTTATTTTATATAGATTTTTCAGTTAAAAGTAACTCATAAAAAAACATGCACATATATTTGTTCCTTGTAAATGTAAATACACGTATCTCTTCAGAATTTTTTGAGGCTGAGAATTGAGTAGTTATAGAGGATCTAATTAGTTAAAGACAGCAACACTACAGATGGATTTTTATTTTACCTTAAACTGATATAAGTTCGTAGTATTAAAATATGTTGTCACAAGAACATATTAAAATTAAATATAATCTACCAGATTAGACTTACTTAAGGATTGCATGAGGTGTGTGTTATTTTATTAAATAAGTTTACTAGGGCATGATTAAATAATTGGGTTTTTAAAGAGTGATATACTATTCAAAAGTCTCTTTACATATGAAAAATGATAGTATACATATAATTGTTTTAATATCAACTGGTAGTGCGAAGTAATTATAGTGTTAATTAATACTTATTAATATTTTTTTATTCTCTCGGGTTTGTCCTTTTAGTCTTTCACTTTTAATTCATTGCATCTTATAATCTTTATTATGTTCTGACTTCTTACAGTGAAAACTTTTTTTTATACAGATTGAAAGAAGAATAGTTATCTTGGCTGCTGAGAAAAAATGAGTGTCAACTTACTGCATTCTATTGTTTATCAAACATTTTTTAAATCAATCTGAATAGATTGATTTTGGTTTTCTCTTTGTAGCAAGGATATTAAGTTTGTATTATTTATACCAAATTATTAAGACAATTATTGTCCTTTTGTATAATCTTCATTTATATTATGTTGAGTCTCATCGATCAAAATATGTGTTAAAACAACATTGATCATATATATCATCAATGTTCAGCTTGTGTAGAGTCAAATTAATATGGTTTTATTGACAATAATATAATTAAACTATTTCTATCAAATTGCACATAATATATATTCACTTCAACTTTTGAATAAAAAGTAACCTATAGTTTTTCATTAACCTCTAACAAACACCTCGGCCTGTGAGTAATTTGTAAAGAGTAACGATACACTCTTATTACTAAATAATAAATGGGAAAAAGAGTCAATTATAATAAATAGACAGAAGAATTACCAAGATATTTTCTTATATATGATAAAAGGTTATAATCTCAAAATTCAATACTTTTTTGCAAAAAAGTTTACAAATCTACTGTTAAAAGTCAATGCTACTATAAACTTTATAAAAAATATCAAATAGTTTTTTAATCAAAGCATCGAGTATTTCTTCTTTAAATGTATTATTTGTCTTGGTTATTTGATAGAAACCAGTTCATCTTAATCATATATAAAAGACACACTAGAAATAAAATTAAACTAATTGGAGGGGGGACTAATCGGAGTAATAAGCACTCTCATTACCTAAATTTAAATAAGTTTCCTAAGTACATATTATTAAAGCATTTTTATATTTGATGATAATGTTTTTATCTATTTAGAATTTGATTTCGAATTATTTAGTGTACAATTTTCAGGACTTAATATTATTTAAATATTTAAGTTTCATTTTAAATCCTATAATTCTATAAACCTTATCTTTTAGTCTATATAATTAAAAATATTTCCTTTTATACATATCATTTATTTTCTTCTAGTCTTATCATCTATTGCTATAAAAAAAAATTAAAAGATAAAAGCTTATAAAATTATAAGGGTTAATAAAATAAAAATGACATGTATATGAATTAAAATAAAATATTTTTAATTATAAAAATTAAAAAGTAAAGTTTATATATGAAACTATAAGAACCAAAAGAGTAAAGAAATCTTATTTAAAATTATCCTAAAAGTATTATATGGGGATTATTTAATATTTAATATTAATTATTAATTACTTATAAAAATATTATTTTTAATATTATATAATAATATTTTAATTTTACTAAATACTTTTATCTTGTTTTTCTTACCGAGCTCCTTAGGAAAACTATTTTTTATTTTTAGATAAATATGTAATTAATTTCAACTTTTACATAATGCACCTTGAATAGTTTATAAGTTAGGCTTGGATTTCGAGCTTCCAAAGCAACTCATTTAAAAGATAAAGTAAGCCATCTCAATTGTTGATAATTTTTTTTTAAAAAAAACTTAATGTTGTTTGTACTTGCAAAACATTGGCTAACTAATCTTTCTTTCAAAAAATAATTAAGTTTAATTCCCAAAACATTGGCACATTAAAATTTGAGATTTTTTTTAAAAAAATTAATAAATAATAATAATAATAATAATAATAATAATAATAATGACATTAATTTACTATATTATCTTGATCGATAGAAATAAATAATTATTTAAATATGTTATTGATTTTGCTTGAATTCTAGTTGGTGTTGGCCAAAATGGATCTTTATGTGAATTTAGGTTCAAGTTTCCCTCATAGCGACAAAATACGTTAACAAGACTAGACACGCTGAGAGCAAGTTAGGTGGGTATTTGTAAAAATCATTCTGACATTCAAGTTAATAACAATTTTGGCAGTGTGACTGTATATAATATAAAAGCTTAATTACATAATACAATGATCTTGGCGATATTTATACTTCTTTGAGTTGTGTTGGATTGTCCACCGTGAGACCCAAGGCCACCCTAGAACAATAATATTTCTCTATATCTTGATGTAGCCAGTGACAGGATAACTTTTCTTTGGCTAAGATTGGGGTGAATAAAGACTAGATTAGATTGTATTTTGAAACATATTTTACTCTTCAATCGGATCTATTATATTCAGTTTGGATTATGAATTTATTTGTAAAATAAAAAAATAAAAAGTTAATATTAAACAACTTATAAAATATATCTTCATGTCATCAACTAATAGAAATTTAATATTATAAACATGTTTATTTAAAGTATTATTTAAAAAATAAAAAATTATAAACATAAAAAGTAATAAACATCTTTAAATTAAAAATATATATATTTTCAACTTGACCTTAACTCGAACATTTTTAACTTGTATTTAACTAAAGCATTTTTAACTCGTCATTGGTCTTAGCTTAAGTAACTTCAATACTATATTTTGATCAAAGTATTTTCATCTTGGATTTGGCTAGAGCATCTTCACCTTAATCTCAACTAGAGTAATTTCAACTTAGACATAGTTTTTTTTTTATCAGCAAAGAAAATATTTATTAATAATACTATATGAACGTACAAATACACGGTGCCCTTTTCTTACTTGAATATAAAACTTCTTCCCAACCAGTTGACAACATATGGTTTGTACCCTCACTCCCCCCGCATATGTACATGCTTTGACTCCCACCCCTTACTTGATAGCTTTATCGCCCTAATTCGTACCACGAACCCCTCCACTTTTAACAGATCCCCCATCCTCACAGGTTGTATTTCTTGCATGTGACCTGTTTCAATGTAAGACTTTTCTCAATGTTTGCACAGTCTTTAATGTCTTGTCTGGATTGATATACAATTAGGCCACAGGTTGCACCAATATTGCATTCTCACTACCATCTCGATAATTTAACCACTATGCCATTAGGCAAGCTGCAGGATTAGCTGACCACAGATCATAGTGGAAGCTGAAACTCTTTTTATTTAATCTTAACCAGGACCAAGAAGTGAATGTTATGTTGTTTTCTAGCTCTTCCACCACAATGTTCTTTCCTCTAAATACTTTGTTATTTCTAGCCTGCCATATGCACCAAGTGATGGCACTTCTAATGGTATCCCATTTTTCTCTTTCTTCCTGATTATAACAGAGATGCGCATACTGAAGGAAGTGTTGTGGGACTGATTGAGGAAGTATTGATGATATTGAGCCCCACGCATAACAGTATTTCCATACATGATCTGCTACCTTACAAGAAAGAAACAAATGGGATGCTGTCTTTGGGTGTTCATTACATAGTACACAATGACTGTCATCACTATCTAATCCTAGACCTCTTCTTTGCAGATTATCAATAGTGGGCAAGGCATTATGTATTAATCTCCACATCAATGTGACCGCCTTTGGAGGAATTTTTAATTTCTAGATTTTTTGAAAGTTAATATCCACCAATCCGGGGTACCTCATATTGTGAATGACTTTGTATGCCGAATTGACTGTATACATCCCTGAGGTCTCTATAGGCCTGGACCAGGAGTCTTTGATCTGTTTTTGCAATTTAGCTCGGGCGATTAACAGTTGAAAAGAAGCCCACTGTGCATTTTCCCTGTCAAACCAGTTTCTCCTCCATTGGAAACACCATCTCCACTCTTGTCCCTCCCATGTTCTCATATCTGCTACCTTATTTTGTTGTTGGTTGGAATTGACAAATATACGTGGGAATGCTTCTAGTAAACTTTGATCTCCTAGCCACTTGTCTTGCCAAAATCTTATTTCTTTTTCATCCCCAAGTTTCCATCTCATTGTTGAATCAAACCACCTCAGCTCGTCCTCTCCCCCACAACTTTTCTTTATATCTCTCCACCACTCTGAGCAGTGACTAGCTTGTGAGTTATGTTGTTCATCTAGTAAGCTTGCATACCCACCATATTTAGACCTTAGAACTTGAGTCCACAAACTGTCACTTTGGTGGAAAAAATTCCATCTCCACTTTGCAAGCATTGAGATGTTGAAGCTATCCAGATCTTTTATTCCCAGTCCGCCCCTATTTTTTGGCATTGTTACCTTTTCCCATTTCACCCAGCAAATCTTAGTCTCCTTATCATCCATACCCCACATGAATTTTCTTTGGATACTAACAATTTCCTTTAGAACTGTTTTAGGCAGCCTAAAAAAAAGAGAAAGTACAGGGGTATAGCTGATAGAATAGAGTTTATTAGACAGATTCTGCCTGCTAAAGAGATTGTCTTATTTTTCCATCCTGCCAACTTGTTCTTGATTTTATCTATTACTGGTTTCCATGTTGCTCTCCTCCTCGCCACAACCCCAATAGGAATGCCCAAGTAGTTAAACGGAAGTGTCATAATTTTACAGTTTAGTAAGTTTGCAAATTTTTCTACTGTGTTCATATCCACTCCTATTGCACCAAAGCAGCTTTTGTGAAAATTTACTTTCAGCCCAGAGACAAGTTCGAAGCATCTCATAACACTCTTTATTGTGACCACATTATCAATAGAGGGTTCTCCTAGAAAAACTGTATCATCAGCGTATTGAAGGAGGCTGAGTGGGATGTTTTCTGCCCCAACATAATAGCCATTGAATTTTCCATTCAGGCTTGCACTTCTCATGAGACCTGAGAGTCCCTCAGCCACAATAATGAATAGAAAAGGGGCTAGTGGGTCTCCTTGCCTCAACTTAGACATAGTATATTCAACTTGACCTTGATCAAAACATCTTCTCCTTAATATCCATCACAACATCTTTCAATAAGCCTTGATTTGAGTCAACATTAATAAATGCATCTAATTAGCTCAGCCTCGACCAAATAATCTTACGCTTTCATCAACTCACATTTTTAACTATAGCACATCTTCAACTCAACTCTCATCAAGACATCTTTTGCTAGTCTCAATCAAAGCATTTTTAACATGATCGATCAAGTCAAAATTTTAAATTTAAACCTCATAAGCTAAATCTAACGCAAAGAGCCTTTTTATGTAGTACCTTGCGGCTTGGCCTACGTATAGGCCAAGGCCAAGTGGAGTGAGCTAACCTATTTTGAAGGGTGAACTTGTGCATATAAGTATTGAACATTCTAAGCTACCATACTTTGAGATGAT